ATATTATCCCTGTATTGTTCTTAGCTTGGAAATATCCTGACATTATTTCTGCATTTATGCTTTACTAAGAGACCATCATCCTGTGACAATCTTTTCATTCATTCATGTTACTTCTTATAATAGGTTATATAATAAAAAAATCAAATAGCTTTTTCTTTATTAATCTCTTATTACTTCAGCATAATGTAAAATTTCCATAAGAAAACCAATATTAATCACTATTAATTGTATTTCTCAGATATACTCAAATCAACTTCATTGTTATGGGCAATAACATTTATCAAGACCATATTTTTCCTAAGAAAGACAGATTGGAGGCTAATATTGTCTTTAAATGGGCCCTATATAAAAGAAGAGAGCATTGGGTCATGCAAATTAGGTTTATATTGTACAAATGATTTATCATTTCAAATAACACTAGAATTAAGGGTAACCAGAAGGAATTAATAGATTTTCAGAACCTAGCCATCTGCGTGGTGCATTTTAAAAAAGAGTTTGTGAAGCGATAGCCTGACCTTTAGAATGTCCATATATGTCTAAAAATAAAAAGACAGGACTATGCAGCACTTTAAAGACTAACAAGATGGTTTCTTTTGTTTCAGTAAGACTAGACTAACATGGCTACATCTCTATTACTAAAAATAAAAAGGGCATTAGTCTGAAAGGTTTGGTTCTGTCAGTGTAATAAATAACTTATTACAGAATGTTATCATTTTTAGACTCTGAGGCCACGTTTATATTTACCGGCAGATAGATGCTCCAGAGGTCGATCTTCTGGCATTCAATTTAGAGGGTCTAGTATAGACTCATAAATTGAATGCTGAGGGCAGCTCTGGTACTCAACCTTTTGTGAGAAGTAAGGGAAGCGTTTGCTCCTGTCGGCCTCCCGCTGTGTGAACAGCCGGAAACATGATGTAAGATACATCTACTCCAGCTATGCAATTTACATAGCTGCAGTTGTGTATCTTACTTCAACCTTCTGCTATAATGTAGACCAGGCCTCAGAGCTAGTTACCAGCTAAGGAGAGATATGAAGTTTTTTGGTGGCAAAATAGTGAGCACTGAGATTTGTAAATATTCTCAGAACAATAGCTAGTCCACGAAGAATATCTGAAATGAATAGTAGCTCTTTCTTATCGTGAAATAGAGATCTTTGGTGAGACTAATGGATTAGCTATGAAAATGATGGATTGCTAAATTATAGTCTGTTCTTCAAAACACGGTCCTGGACTCTCTCCTGGTAAAGGAAAGAAGTTGTTGACCCTAGATACTTTCTGAAATATAATTTCTTAAAAAAACCAAGTTTTCTGAGAACAATCTGCCTGACCTCTAAGGAACCAAGAAGCAGTTGGAATAGAAGCCAATTCTTTTCAGATCAGCTAGAATGGGTTCCATTACTTGTGCCACA